AAGAAATAACAAGTGTAATATCCACTAAAGCAAAGCTTAAGTATATAACACCAACAATAATATTATTGTGATGGACTTTAATATTATTAATATATTAATTGTGGGGTTGCTCCACAGTATTAATATATTAGAAGCCCTTATCCTATTCTCCTTAGGGTCCCTACTGTAGCTCTATATATACAGCATTAGGCTCATGGAAGAAGAGAACAATCCCACAACCTTGGGAAACACGTCCAGCCTCTCTCTCTCTCTCTTCCAAGGAGTAGTTCTATTTCTTGTGCTCCACTGATACAAGATCTAGATAGCTGTTTGAGAATACAGTAGATGATCTTAAAGTATATACGGGATTCCAATCAGATCTATCATACATCCAAACTAGAGACCAAAACTAGCAAGTGACCATACCACGACGACCAGGATGACGAGACGAAGAGATCGCCGTTGAGATCGCCGCCAGTCGCCGCCGCATGCGCCGCCATGCGCCGCCGGAAGGGAGCAGCTACTGGAGCTTACTTGCGCGCGTGAGAGCGCGTGAACTGTCCGATTTCCAATCGGTCAACGCCTTTGACTTCGCCGTGACGCCAGCTTTCTGGATTGGTCAAGTTTGTTCGATTCCGAGAAGATTTGATTTGCGGTCAACTATTCGGGCCAGCCAGATGTACATAAATTTTAAGCAGTAAGTTTTCTTCATCAAACCTTTAGATCCGCTGCGCATAGGTTTATGTTGAATGTTTGTCCGTGATTTGTGCATATCGAGATCCTCATATGTTACAACAATTGGTATCAGAGCTTGAGGTAATCCGTTGTGTACAAGATCCGGATTAAACTGCTTATATTGTCTATGTGTGCTCAAGCGCAGCCATATATATTGGATTATATGCATAACTTGGTTTTGCAGGAAGTAGTTAATCCACTATTATGGCCACTCTTTTATGTGCGTGTGCTTAATTGATGGTTTGTTGTATGGTTTTAAATTTATTTTTAAAGCCTCGGGATTGTCGAGGAATTATGGATGAATGCTTGTATTAATTGCCCGGGTGTTGACCAGATAGTTTAATTAATTAGTAGAAAGCATGTACATCCACTCATTGGATCTAGGAATCGATTTATGTAATTTTGTAAATTATATTTTTCGAATTGTGATCGACCGTTGGAGAC